TTTTTTAGTGCCTCAGAAAAAATGTGGACTAAACCCAAGTTGTCACCAATTAAAATCGACAACATTGACCAGAGAGGGAAAAGTAAAGGTTCACATTCTGACCTAGTGCATTATCAACAGCCTCTGATCATCTCTTGAACTGAGTTTGTTTCTTTACAGACAGTAGCTAAAACCCCAGACAATATAGGATTTGAACTTGAGGAAAACTAATGATGGATTTTCTTCCCACATTTTCTGATGGGCTTGGATAAAATAGGAAAAGTATCTTAGGGAACAAAAACAAAATAAAACAGAAACAGCAACTACCCGAAATGATTACTCATAGTGTTTGCTCTTTGGGGGTTCGTAATAAATGTTCATTTTAAAGAAAAAAGTGATAGGAGGCATTTTATATCACAATATATGTTATCAGAATCACTTTTACCCCATTCCTCCCTGTTCCATAAAGAGTGCTCAACTTCCACCCTATTCACTACGAGATTAAGTAGAAGATGCTTCCTTTCTCTTCTCTCACAGCTCTTCCTTATGGAAGAAGAAGTAATGATCCTGTTGGTGATGAGTGGAAATGGCTCATTCCTCCACTGATCCACATTTCTCAAGGAGGCTTGATGAGATTTAAAATTATGGTACCTGTATTCTTGGTCTGTGGGTGTCTGCAATCTTAATGAGATATAGGGAAGATCAGTATTTCCCCTATGGCAGGATTACAGGGAGTGTATGAATCCATTTTCCATTGCTAAAACAAAATAACCAAGGCTGGATAACGTATAAACAAAAGAGCTTTATTCATCTCACAGTTTTGGAGGTTTAATGTCCAAATTACATGGTGCTGGCTCTGGCAAGATACCTCCTGGTTGCATCACATCATGGCAGATGGCATTATGGTAAGAATGCATACAAGAGAGATCACATGGGGAGAAATAAGTCAGAGAGAGCAAGGAGGGACCAGTCTTGCTTTTAATAATAATCTCCTCATAAGAATTAATAAGGCTCCCTGGAGTACTACCTTAATCCCTTCCTCAGGCAACATCCTCAATGACTAATCCCCTTGTGTGAGGCTTTGCCTCTCAAAGGTCCTTCCTCCTCCCACTGTAACCACACATGCTGGGGACCAGGCTTCCCACATATGAGCCTTTGGACCCCCAACCTGTAGCAAGGGGCAAGGAGGAGGATCTTATTAATAACTTACTTCTAGTCTTCCCAGACAGGAACAAGAGTTCCCTGCACTCTTTAGGAGGAAACAGTATTGGAGCAACATTCTGTGCCCTTTTTCTTGATTAAGGACATTAGGAAATGGCAACTGAGAATACACAGGATAGCCTTTCTTTGGCTTTCCCCTTTTCAGAACTTTGTATTCAGAACTTATTTTTCCATCTTCCAAGAACTGAGATAACTAGTACAGCCTTCTCTACCATCCAAAGTCATCCTAAAAATTATCAGGGAAGTTCAACTCAGGAGGAAAGCCCTCAGATCCAAACACCAATCGAACATTGCCATTATTCAAGATTACTTTTTCTCCATCTCTTACACTTCTATTTTCCAAAGCTTCTGAGAACTCTGAGGGAAGATGAGATAATAACTCTGATAATTTTCTTTTTTAAAAAAAATTGTTCTTTTTAGATATACATAATAGTAGAGTGTATTTTGACATGTCATATTCCAATTTTTATCCCATTCTTGTGGTTATATATGCTGTGGAGTTACACTCGTCATGTATTCATGTATGAATTTGGGGAAGTTATGGCCGATTCATTCTACTGTTTTTCCCATTCCCATCCCCGCCCCTTTCCTTCATTCCCCTTTATCTAATCCAGTGAACTTCTATCAGCATCCACATATCAGAGAGAACATTTGGCCTTAAACCAAAGGCCGAATGTTCTCTCTGATGACTTTCTTTAAGCAGAGGCATCTGAGAGAAAATGGAAATGAATAGGTCAATCAAGGCAAATCTACCACTGAACTCCAGCCAGACAAACCTAGCATGGCTCTGACCTAGGATGGGTCAGTTATTGTCTTGGATCAGTAACAGGAGCATAATGCTTTCCATTACTCAGAGTCCAGTGAATACATTCCCGGAATATAAGTTCATTGAATGAATCAAATAGCTAACTTTATAGAACATTTACTTTGTGCCGTGAACAGTGACATGTTTCATGTGTGATAACTCAAGTAACCCTCACAAGACTATAGTTCAGGTTCTATGTTTTGTTCACATTTTACACATGAGAACAGAACAGGGAAACAGAGAGAGATTCAATAATTTGCCCAAGGTTGCACAGCTCACAATCAACAGGGTTTGAACTCAAATGCAAATTGTTTCGCTGCAAGCCTGAGTCTCTAACTCCCATAATATACTCTCGAATTAATAATAGGTAAAATTCAGATATTTTTAAAGTATTTTCACAACTAAAATGAGTGATAAATGTTTTAAATAGGGGTATGAATGGTAGAAGAGTCTCACAATTTCTTGATAGAATTGAGATAGAACCTACAATCTCCTTCTAAACTGAGAAAAGATGATCCAGTCTCCTGGACCTCTCTCCAGTTCTTATCACTTTCCCTTGTATCATGACTAATGTTGTTGTTTTCTTCCCCTAAGATGATCCTGATCCCCTAAGGTGATCAGAACAAAAGTGAGTTGTGAATTGTGATCTAATATGGATGTTTGGATCACAGAATCTGATATGCTAGAGCAAGAGGTGATTTTGAAGATCACCAAGTGAAAATAATGAATGCCAGGAGTCAAAAGATCTTAGAAAAGTGCACAAGCCCAGAACTTAGCATTGACTGGTATCTGGGGGTTGTACCAAATGCAACTGAAAAACAACTATAACTCAAACTCAATTTTAAAGATTATACCATAAGTCGTGCATGCTTGTGTGTCTGTGTGTTTGTTCAAAAGAGCAGCAGGTAAAAACTCACATTCATAAATTTTGAATGCTGTGGTTCTAAGTATATAATTTTACAAAATTATGCCTTTTCCTGTTGTACGTTTTCATTTCATTGGTCAATACTTACTTATTTTTAATTATAAACAGCTAACTTCCAGTTTCTGAGACTGTGGACAGTTTAGCTTTTGATGCTTTATATCATCAAGCTCATTTTCATCAACAAAAGTAGATGTTTGTACAATGTGGAATGTGTTTGTTAATACTAAATAACTTCTAGAATGATGTGGATGCAAAGTTCCAGATCTCAACCTTGAGCTGCACCATGCTTTCTAATAGCTATAGAGACCAATCCCAAGAGATATTTCAGGGAAATCCTCTGGCATGAAAAATAAGGCACTTATTGCAACAGTGACTCTTTTGGAAGTATTCATTCATTACAGATTGACCACCCTGATAAAATGAAGATCTCATCAATATTTCTCAAAGGCACACATCACTCTGGTGGTAACCAACAAAGTCAGGACTCAAACTCAAGACCTCAAAGATCATGCTGTATCCATAATGTTTCAAAGGGTTCCAATACCAATTTTTTGGTAGGTCGTCCTATAGCACTGTACATACTTAGCAGTTCAATTGAGGGCGTGTGTGTGTGTGTGTGTGTGTGTGTTTATTTGTTTGGTTGCAAATTATAAACATTGTTCCAAACCAATTTTAGTAAGAGTGGATACTTTGTTTTTATGAATAACTAATGTAATCCAAGGGTGGGAAGCAGAATTTATGAGACAATATAAAAAAATTGGAATATCATCATGAAAGAAGGCAGCTACTCTCTTTTATCTGCAAGGCCAAAGCTTTATCTATACCCAATTCATTCTTCAGTCTACAACTGGCTTCAAACTGTTCAATGTGTAGTGAAAAACAGGGCTTCCATCACCATCCCTGCTGTTAAATAACCTCCCAGCTTCACCATTACTGGTCCAGCTTCTGTCAGGTGCCCATCTTTGTTATGTGTCAAGGAACCCTTTCCTGTTGTGGCTGGGGGGAGACCAGTTTCTGAAGGGGGCATGATGGGTATAGACATCCAAACAGATGTCTATCAGCACAGGTCTGCATTTCCTCACTTGGAGAATGGAAACACTAGATAAGATAGTAATGATAATAAAAGGAAGGATTAATATTAACAAAGTTGTCATTCTGTTTTGGGCATTTGGTTACGTTATGCATGTGTGTTATCTCATTCAATCTTGTAAGGACCATATGAGGCAAGAATTTCATTGCCTCATTTTAAAATGAAATAATTGAAGCCATGAGAGGTTAAGGAATTTGCTCAAAATAATTTTTCAAAAATGTCTTGTAGTTTTGAAAAGTTATGATTTTTAATTAAGCACCACAGTTTGATAGAGATAGATTAAGACATTAAAATAATACAAAAGCATATTTTACTTTTAAACCTCTGTTCCTCTTTTCCTTAAAGAGAAATTGATAGCCTGAACAATAGCTCAGTGATCATATTAGTGACATTTAGATCCTTAGTCTAAAATGGACAGGACATGGTAATAAACATAATATTTAATATACAATATTAAATATTATATTATATAATACATAATAGCATAATATGTCCTCAATACAATAGAGGTTGAATGATGGCTATAAAGTCACCTGGAAAAAGTTACCAGTGAAATCTATTTCCATTGCTAAGAGACTTTCCAAGATCTTTCATTAGGTAGTAGTATCATCATATCAATTGCTACTTAAAATAATGGAATAAAATTATTGTTAAACAAAGTGAGTCCAACACCCAGAAAAAAAAACCCAAATCTCCAAGTACAAAATGTGGTAACAAAAGAAAAGAAAATATGAAACAATTCAAGTTTCATTTCTCAAATTAGAAAAACATAAGATATTTCTCGTTATGGGTATATATCAGTATTATTCCACAGGGCTAATCATGTCATGTTGATAGTAAGCTACCAGGCCCCATTCATGATACTATCTCAAAACGTTCAATTATGTGCCTAAGCAAATGACCCCTTTTCAAATGTAGCACAGTCTAAACCATGTAAGAAATACAGTCATTCTCAAAGAAGAGAAAGAAAAGGAGAAATATTCAGTTAAGCAATTTTTATTTCCATATGATATAATGAAAAGCTCTTCATTACTGGAGAAAAGTGATACAAATTCAGCAAAGCTTAGCACATCAGTAGTGAAGTGTCCTTCACAGTTTCACTGCAATACACCCTTTAAATGGATTTGACTAAAGAACCAAATTTCATGTTGCATCTAGGAACTATAGTAAAAAAAGATTTTTTTTCTCATTTTCTAATGATGAAAATTATAACCATTATAGGAAGGCAACAGTCATTAAATAAATTAAAAGCATCTTTAAAGTTTTTCCATATACATATAATATATATATATATTTTTTTAAATTGCCATTTACTGTACAAGCATTTCTCATCTAAAACATTTACAGAAACTAGTGTGAAAAGCTGAAGGGAAAGCTTCGTTTTCAGAAAAAGGGGATTATTTTATCACTTATTAACTACATTAAAATACAGCTCTCAAAGGAAGAAAAGTTATACAGAGAAGTCAGACTTACCCAAGATTTCTTATTTAATCACTTATTTAATCTTATACATTAAGTGTGCTGAAGCTATTCTCTAACCCAACCTTGATTCAACGAGAAGCCAATGTCCAGACATTACTTGTTAGCACAGAGAAAAGTGAAAGTAGCAAGATTAAACGGAATAGTATAGTTATATCTTAAAAATTATAAGATGGCTGATGATAGTATAACTCACATATGATTATCTATGAAAATATTAAATGGACAATGAGTCATACAGAAATATTAGGTAAAAATTTATCTTACTGAATAAATGATCCACAGTTAATATATAGCTAGGTGAATATAAAAATTAACCTGGAATACTGTAGTCCTGAGATCTGAGGAATCCAATCTTCCAGTTTAAGTTCTACAACCCCAATTCTGTAAATTGTATGTTATTTACATAGGTTACAATAAAGTATTCTTAAAATACTAATCAACATTGGCTGTCCCTTAATTGGAATTCCAGAGAACAGTTATTGAACAAAGAACTCCTTTATAAAATGACGGTGTGTATGTGTGGGGGGGGTGGGTTCCCACACTGCAGAATGGCTAGGGGAAGGTTGAGAGTGGAAGGGTTAAAGGGAAGAAGGAAAATAGGGAAAGAGAGAGAGAGAGATGCATGAATTTTAGGACATGGCATTTTGTAAATGTAATTTCTTTTCTCATCCATGCCAATTTTTTCTTTCTTTCTTTCTTTTTTTCTTTCTTTCTTTCTTTTTTTTTCTTTTTTCTTTTTTTGGAACAGGGGATTGAACTCAGGATCACTCAACCACTGAACCACATCCCCAGCCCTATTTGTATTTTATTTAGAGGTAGGGTCTCACTGAATTGCTTAGCGCCTCGCTTTTGCTGAGGCTGGCCTTGAACTTGCAATCCTCATGCTGCGGCCTCCTGAGTCACTGGGTTACAGGTGTGTGCCACCACACCCAGCAATCTTTCTTTATTCTTTGGGAATAAAACTTTTTCCATAGATAGCATAATATGTCCTCAATACAAAGGAGGTTGAATGATGGCTATAAAGTCACCTGGAAAAAGTTACCAGGGAAATCTATTTCCATTGCTACGAGACTTTCCAAGATCTTTCTTTAGGTAGTAGTATCATCATATCAATTGCTACTTACAATAAATTGTAATTAGTTGGTACTTAGAAATTTTTATTACTTAAAGTATTTTTTGGCCATTTGGTATTTAATCTATATTAAATACGCATTGATTCACATTAAGAAAGGCAACAGACTTTAATTTGTATATGAGGCTGAGAAGTGATACTAAAAATTGCCAGCCTTTTTCATCAATGCATCTGTAAGAAAAACTGTTAAGAATTTAATCAAATATACCAAGGAACAAGAAATTTTCTTTGTAAAAAGACAGTATGACCAGGAGATATGGCAGTGACACTCTGGTTCATTTCTGTCTTTAAAATTTGGCATTCAAATGTATAGGAACATTTTTTTTTGGGGAGGGGGTGAGAGGTACTGAGGATTGAACCCAGGGGCACTTAACCAGTGAGCCACATTCTCAGCCCATTTCATATATATATATATATATTTTAGACAGCATCTTGCTAAGTTGCTGAGGTTGGCTTTGAAGTTGAGATCCTCCTGCCTCAGCCTCCTGATCCACTGGGATTACAGCTGTGCACCATCACACCCAGTGATAAGAACAATTTTTATAAAGTAATTTCATCCCACATCTTGGTTTGAATCTTTAACTTTATGGTACCAGAACAACAACAACAACAACAAGGAAGTGAACTAGAGGAAACAGGGTTACTTAGACACCACAACTTCATTCATTTTTTAGACCTGTTATATCTCATTCAGAGTTAAAACACACCCACACCAGCTTTTGTATATTTCTAAAGTGGCAAAGAGCTTCTCTTCATATCCTTTTAATAGGTTCCAATAAAATACTACTTAGACTACAGAGAATGCCACACTGGTTTACCAACACTGAAGTGTGGGGATGTTCCTTCATCTGGCTAATGCACAGAGATACTTGCAGTGTTTTCACATCCATCACTATAGTCCCCTCAAGGAAGATGTGTACAGAATAGCTTATAATAAAAACCCAAACCTTCAGTGCCAATAGGACTTCCAGCTCAAGTGGTCAGTCTCTTCATTTTACCAGGGAGGACACAAGACACACAGTTAACTTGAACCTTCCACAAAATAGATAGATGCTCAATAAATATTTATTAGATGACTGAACCACCATAGATAGCTATTAGCAAAATTCCATGGCTTCTGATCCGGCACAGCTTCCAAAACAGACTAGTTATTTCTATTCACCAGGTAATACTCAACTAAGACAAGGACTAACCACAGATAAAACACTAACAACCATCTACAGCCTGAAATGGCTTCTTGTATCTCAAGCAAATATAGCAAGGGAAAGATTTATAAAACAATATTCTAGGACAAAAATGAGATAAAAGTATGTATGATAAATGGAAATGAAACAAAAACCAAATAGTATCTACATTTGACTCCTTTTCCTGGTGGATAAACTTTGTGAGCTTTGCTAAAGTGTAGATTCCATGACTGAGGCAAAGGCCCAAATTTGTGTGAAAAAGGTGCCCTTGATCCAGATGTGGTTGATGAATGATATTCAACCAACGTGAGAGTGTTGATAGTCAAGGTTTATGGGCAATTCCACAGGAAGGCAAGGCATTAACAAGCAAGTAAAATTCCAATGGCCTCAGGAAGAATTGTTGCTATTCTTGTGTTTTACAGGGAGTTTCTTTTTCTTTTCTTTTTCTCTTTTTGAGACAGGGTCTCACTAAGTTGCCCAGACTGGCCTCAAGCCTGCCATCCTCCTGCCTCAGCCACCCTCCTGAGTGTCTGGTATTGGTATACACCACAGCATCTAACAGGAAGGACTATAAAATTAATTTTAGAAAAGACATATAAGAAAGAAGTGCAAAAGATGAGTTGCATCTGGGATTTTTAAAAACTGAGCTGCTGACTCCCTTTTCTGGAAGGCAGAAAACTGAAAATGGCAATATTTCCAATATAATGGAGGATCCAATGGCAACTCTGTATATGCTCTTGAATTGCTCTACCATTTTAGTAAATTTCTCATACTAAAATGGTGCTTGCCAGAACATGAAACTGAAAAACAAGGAATCCTGTGTAGACTGAGTTACAGAGTCATATTAAGTACACTACCTATAGAGGACACAGACCCAGGCACATGTACACACACACACACACACACACACACACACACACACTCAGCATACCCTCACTTCAATGCACACAGTGACTTGTGTAAAGAAAACAAGGGTAAACAAGTGAAGAACTTCTAATATAAACATTAACATTGACTGGAATATTTAAAACATGTTGGGTTTTTTCAGAAATCTAAGGCAACAAGCCTACTTAAAAATATGAAATTACTGTTTCCCCTAAGTTGTTAGAATGAGTAGAGATAAATGATAAGCTACTGCTGTTTCTCCATTCTATTTTTAAAGCCCCTTACAAAAATAAATCAGAATGTTCTTTAACAGTTCTAAAAACAGTTTGATACTTTTCCTCATGTGATTTTTTTCAAAAGAAAGAAATATGTGTCCATATTTACTACAAATTTATTTTTAGTTACATTCAGGAACAAATGCAGTCCAGTTCTGCATGGTAGAAATCTTCAATCTATTTGCTCATTCTCTTTTGACTATAAAACAATCTTTTGGAACAAAATGCATTGGCAGTGCAAAAAAAAAAAAGTCCATAAAAATAAACTAATGATTGAATGAAGCATTCAAATGAGTTCTTTGCCAGGTTATCTGCAAGCACAAGACTCTACTGTCATGTTAGGATATACCTTAAGCACTACATTTTTATTTTCATCGAAGAATAAAATGCTGAGTGAGGACATCTTTTCTGGCACACAGCAAGGCTCAGGAATCCCAGGAACAACCCCCACAGCTCTCACTATGCTCTGGATGGTAGCGTGATTTGATGGTTTCAAAGACTAGAGAAAAGAAATGAGAGAACACATGTTAGGTGGAATGGTTATTCTACTCCTCATCACACAAAATGCCTATATAATGAATTTGTTTCAACAGTTTTGTAAAATCCTGACATAGTGTACTATGTCACATAGTGTGCTATGCCCAACTTCTGCTCCCCATTGCCCCGAAGTGATAGTCATTTGCTGAGAACCTGCTATATTCCAGGCATTTTATACAGACCACCTCTAATCCTTATAACAAAAACACTGTTTCTTACATTTTGCAGACTCAAAAAGCTTAAATGACCTGTCTGAAGTCAAATAGCTTATAAGTGGTAAGAATTTGAGCCCATTCTTTCAGCAGGAATCACTTAACTTCAAAGAATTTAATCCCCAACCATGGAATTGATATATCAGTGATGTTTTCAACAATAGGTTTGCAATAAAAAAAAAGTCTTTGTTGTTGTTCTTGACCCTACATTAATCATGAAGAACCCTAAAAAATACCCTATTTAACAGAGGTGCCTTAATGCCACTACTATAGTGATGTTTATGCATTGTTATCAAAATAAAACTAAGTGGGACAGAGGAGCATTAATTTCTTTACTAGTTGCCAGGAAAATGAATTGGATGGTGACTGTTTCATTAGTGTAATTATTCAACTTTCAGAAGTGCAAATTGAGGTTAAAAAATACCACTCCATTGGCCACTGGGGGTCACTGTTGCTCCATAGGTTTAGACTTGGTAGAGTTGTATTTTTAGGAGTAGATCTTGTCCTGTGGGAATAAACTAGAGGGTCCAAGGTCATCCCATGGATGTCAGACATTTGACCAAGGAAGCCTGGGTTAAATCTCTTCCCCGGGAAAATCCAAATGGGATCATTACCTTCCATGTGAAACATGTGGTTTTATTTAGAAAGCCCCATACAGCTCTGCTCTAACTCAAAGCATTGAAGGGAGGAGTCAGTTTTGCTAGCCCAGAGTGTTAGGTCCTGCAGGATGGCCAGAAGACCTCCATAAGAGATGCCATGCTTTCAACAGCACTTTTTCCCCCATGGTCTCCTTTGGGTGGGTGAAACTGGTTTTGTTTCAATCATATTTAAAAACAGAAATTTGGGGGTTAGGAATGAGGCTCAGTGGTAGAATGCTTGTGCTTGCATAGCATGTGTGAGGCCTTGGGTTTGATCCCCAGCAACACACACACACACACACACACACACACACACACACACAAAGAGAGAAGGGGGAGGGGAGAGGAATCTGGTAATTTGCCAGCCTTCAAGTCAGGAATAGGATTTAAGTCAAAACTCTCACTCTAATTTCAAGATTTTGAGCAATATTTCTTATGGCTTAGAGGCACCCCTGCCACAAAGAATTGGGATTTTAAATTCAAACTCCTAACTCCAACATGGGAAACTGGCACAAGTTACATAAAAGTCAAAGGAGAAGAAAATAATACAGAAAATCAGCATATTGTGGGGGGTGGGAAAGGATTCCTTTTGGCAGAGAAAGGGAAAATATTTTGTCTCATTGCACTTTTCAATTTCATTGTAAAAAAAAAAAGAGTCCATACATTTGACTTCAACTTATTGTGAATAAATATAAATAATTTAAAAATTAGTCTTAATTTTACTCTTACTTTCGAGGGACTTTATGTATAAGTTAAAAGGAGAAGTCAAGTTTCAATTCACTAGCTTGGACTGATTGCAAAACAGGGTTTCGCCCCTTAAGTGAAAAAAAAAAAAGTCCAGGCTATTCTACTTTGCATTTTGGGTGCTCTACATCATCAATAAAATATGTGAACCTCACCCAAATTGCAACCAGCATTGAACCATGGATGTCAATAGGCTTTGTTTGTTATCTTAGCAGTATCAGTAATTTCTAAAAAGAACTTTTGCAGACATACAATTTTCTCTATTGATTTAAAGTTATTCTGAAGACTCAATCATCCAAACAGCTTGTCATGAACCCCCAAAAGATTTTTAAAGCCAGATTTTCTAACATAATTCTATTATTGTTAATGTCTAATGATTCAATATTTACATTTTACACAAACTTGTTCTATTTAATTAGATCAGCCCTTGGGCAATAAATATGCTGCACATTGCTGTCCTCAGTGCCTAGAACACTGTATACTCTTGACACTGAAGAAATATTTGGTAAATAGATGAAATACTTACAGGAAACAGCATACCCTTCATTTTACCTATTTTTGTGGGAAAAAAAATTCAACACCAAAAATGAAAGGTTCTGCCGGAGATATGGAAAATATTCATGGGTGTTTCCTAGGAAAATTCCTATCCTTTTTCCCCCCCTTAACCTCCAACTCATAAATGATGGAGTCAGAAACTATGAGGGTATGAGTAGTCTCTAGTGAGCTCGCGGGAATTCAGCACAAGCCCTTGAATGGTGGTGGTGTTTTCTTATCAGAACCTCTCTGATTACTAGGGAGTTTCCCCTTTTTTCTTACTATGGAATCCTCTGATCAAGCTCCCCTTACCAGGAATAATTATGTCATGCACAAATGATCCATGCTGTAATTTTCTGGGGTGAAGCATATTGCCTGTTCACAGTTTTGGGTTTGTTTCTGAGTTCAAACTGTGTTACTCATGACTCTTTTTACTGAGATTGAGAAATGTTTCAGCCATAAATGCCAGCCTGTTCTCCTACAGTCACCAGTCTCTCTTTTAAATGAGGTTGAAACATGTCTTCGACATCAGGTCAGATAATTTTTTGCTTAAGAAACACAGCACATCACAATTCAATGTTTTTAGTGTTTATATTCATGACCAGACATTAGAATTGGAAAATTCAGGCAATTCATTGAGGATGTATGGTTTTGAACTAATTAATGTGAATTTTTTTCATATGGGATATTTGGTGCAACATATTTGGATTATTTGCTGCCTAGTTCTGTCTTTGCTATCCCTAGTTTTTGCATAATTCCTTGCAAAAGTAACTTCATTCCTCTAATCCTTGTTTGCTTCTTGGAGCTCTGTCAGCAACAATGGCTCAACCATTTTCATTTGAAATTTCTGTTTTCCATCTCTGCTAAGGTAGTGAGGGAGGCAAAGAACTTGGCTTTGGCTATGTTGGTATTTTTCATCTCATGGCAGAATTCCAAGAGTCTCTCTCTCTCTCTCTCTGGGAGAACAGATTGCCTATAAGGGCTAGAAATTGGAAAAATCCAAACTGCTCTGTCTGTGAATGAAATCTACAGTGGTCAGGTTGCACCTGCCAAGCTGTGTGTGATGTCCTCAAGTTGAATTTGATTACAAATACATTAGCAGGGGGAGAGTATGTCATCATCGGCTAGGAGCCTTCATTCCTGACCCAGACCTTGAGGTTTTGCTCCCCACTCTTCCAGTCCAGCCCACATGGGTGTGAGGGCCCAGAAACTATCTAATTGGAATCAGTGAAAGGGCAAAGCCTGGAATTTGGGAAAGGCAGAGCACAGCTGTTCTGAATTATGGAGCAGGTTGTCGACTTTAGCAGAAGAAGAGACCTGCCATATAGAGCGGGCTTTTGCTCAGGAGACCCAAAACAGGAGAGCAGCTGAGCAGTCTGGCCTGGGAGAACTTTTCTCTGGGGCAAAATGAATATCTAAAGTCTGAAGATTCTTTGGTGCCTCCATTACTGCACGTGTCATGCTGACCTAGTTGCAGACCCTCATTTTGTTCAGCTGGTCAGGCTGCGTTTCTATTTAAGTAGTTCTCTCTGGTTGCCATATTCGACACTATGCTGACAAGGGACATACTTGCCCCTTGCCCTTCCTTCGGCTTTATGTTTCCCATCCCTTGGTTACTGTACCATTGGAAGACTTAAAGGAAACCACTAGAAAGCTTTAAAAGTTAAGCATATCCACACAAGGTGATGAGAGATTGAAAACTCTTTGTAACAGCCAAACCTCCACTCTCCACTTGGCAAAAGGAAATATCAAGCTCAGAGAGAAAGCTCCATGCTTATCCCTGTTATGTCTCCCTGGAGCTCTGATGCCATTCCAAGTTTTGACAAATATTATGATGAGTCCAGATGCTGCAATGGATGCTCTCCTTATTCTATTACTCTCCTAAGGCACCTCACTGGAAGAGCTCACAGGCTGTTAAACCCGCAGGGAGAATCCTATTTTCAATCTTGTGATATTTGTAAAGGAACCTGAAATACAGAACTTTTTCTTGCTTTACAACTTTTATTTTCTTGCTCCCTTTCCCTACATAGTCTTTCTTCAGCACCCCCACACTTAATTTTCTGTTCTCCTCAGACTCTGCAATGGTCACTAATGATAACAACAATAACAGCAAATACTTATTGAGCACCTACTGCATGCAAGTTGCTCTACTATCTCATTTCCCCCATCTCATTTTTGTTATGAGGTACTATTATTACTATTTTTACCCATTTCCAAGATGATAAACTAACGTGTAGAGAGTTTGAGTAATTTATCTAAAGAACCATAGTTGGTAAATGGCAGAATCAAGATTCAAGCCAAAAGCATTTGCTTATCAATGTCACTACTCCAAGTACAATTTGTGAATCAGCAGCATTAGTATCATGCTGAAGCTTGTTAGATGTGCATAATCATGGACTCCAGCCCCAAACCCACTGGATCAGAGCCTACATATTTAAAAACCCCAGGCAGTTTGCAGACAAAGTAAGGTTTAAGAAGCCCTGTATGATTAAGCATGCATATTTAATTATTCTGCTATGTTAACATACTTCTTTCCTCAAATTTATCCTTTTTGTAACTAATCCCTTATTAGCTTTTAAATAATTATTCTTTAGATAACTGAGGACCATGGTGAAGCTCTTCTGGAGCAATACCAGGTTTAGGATGAGTAAAAGCAGGTGGCACCAACAGAAGAGAAAGACACAAGTGAGGAGAGTGGTGGAAGGCTGGAGGCTAAGACCCTTCTCCAGAGTTAGGGAATGAAAAGCAAACCAAAAAGAACATCTCAACATTCGTATGGCTTTCTGGAACCTGCCTGGAGTCAGGAGGGAGGGAAAAAACCTTCTTTTTCAGGTTACCCAAGTGACCTATTTATGAGGGTGAGAGAGATAGTTTAGAAAACCCTCAGCCTATCTAAAATCAGTCTTCCTGAACTTAACAGTAGAGGAATCCATTCTTGCCTCTGGATGCCACAAGGCAAGTCATATGGTAAAAGATTCTTCTCTGCTTGTGACAGGTGTCATGTTTGTTGTGTTTGTAAGTGTCATCTCTGGTGAATGGGTTTTTGTTTCATCAGAAAAATGTACTCCATGAATCTTTAGACAAGATAAGGTGCTTTTTATCACTGTAAATGTAGATAATCCTTACTTTGTATTGAGTTTACAAAACTTGATATCATTCAAAATCCTTGGGAAACATAAGGTCTTGGAAAATGTGAAAAGCTTATCTTTCTGAGATATCCTAACAAGAAAAACAGGATGTCAGTTAGCCCCTTTGTTTTTATGTGCATAGTACCCAGTGATCACAGGACTAGAAACATAAAAATGCTATCATAAAGGTTTATAAACAGAAATCAGTCACTCTTTGAGGTGAAGGATCTTATGTCCCCATTATCAAACTATAACAAAAATTGATTCAAGTATTTTAAAAAATCCACTTTTTTTCTCTGAATTCTATTCCTTGGGTCACTTCTCATTGTTTAATACAGATTCAGATTATTTGAAGCTAAGAATGAAAGCATGGCAAAAGCTGAACCGAAGGATGGAGGGTACCTCTCTATTTTACTATTTATACCATACATCGAAAGAGAACTGTCACTTGGACTTGCTGTGCAAAAAAGAGGTGAGTGTTGGAGAGACTTCTGAAAATATATTTGTCATAATACTCAGTAGTGATATGATAAAACGCAGTCCTAACTGAGTTTGGAAGAGTCAGATAATTTCTGAGAGGTTAAAATGGGTCTTGGAAGACATTTACAAAGTCATTATATTCTATTTTGCCTTATTTTTTGACATTTAGCAGAGAAGCAAATGAAATAAACATCTGGAAGATCAAATGAGGCCAGTTTACCTAGCCAAACCCTGATCTTAACCTCTGTAGGGACAACTCTTCTCAAGAGTAACTACTTATCAAAAAAAAAAAAAATGTTCTGCATCAGGGCATCAATCCCATTAGCTTGTCCTTTTGCTTCCACCATCTCTATGCATTCCATTTCCTGAACATCTCTCAAAGACCAGTCTTCTACCACCTGGGGTTTGATTATCATAGATAGGTATAGATAACTAGTTGAATATGCACCATGTTTGGAAGCAACACAAAAGGCATATTTTATGCATACATATTTTTCGTATTCTTCATATTCATTTTGACCTCATATTACTTTAACACCATTAAAGTAAAAACAAGCATAACCATATTACCTATTACACTTTAGAATGTAATAAATCAGGGTCCAGATGGATTCTGTAAATGAAAACATGCACTGACACAACATGCACCTTCAACTTAGTGTGGCTTTCTACTCTGTGGAAATAGAAAGAACAAGGCTAAAACAATGGCTACCTTTGGCATGGGGAACTGGCAGGCTCCGGAGCAATAATAAGCATCAAAAGACTTGGGGGAGATAATCCATTCACTCCAGCCAATATCCGCAAAGTCCACTTTAAGGTATCTCTTGGCACAATTCCGAGGTTCAACCCACTGCTTTCTTCTTGCCTTCTTCAAGGTCTGTTCATCAAACTGAAGCGTCTGACTCTTTTGGTGAGGTCCTTTTCTCTGTTTCTTCTTGTTCTTATTCTTCTCAGGAGGCTGAGTCTGAAGGGTCTTGTAAGGCTTCCTTTCTTCCCATACCCCTTCCTCCTGGTACTGATATTCTGCCCCAGGAAGCTCATTGTTCTGCAGAGGCAACAAGATACCTGTAGAGCGTTTCTTCCTTCGTTCCATAGAAAGGGCAGCTCTGATGTGGCTATCCAGTTTGGGAACAGCTCCAGTGGGGAAATTCCAATGTCCCTGTAAGCTTGACACTACACTTTCTGGCTCAGAAATGGCAACATCGTTGGCATACACCAAGATATAAGGCTCCGGAAAAGGAACCATCCTTTTTGGCAGTTGCTGTGCTTTGGGGGTCATGTTAAATCCTATGAGGAAGTCCTCATTTTCCTTGGCCTTCTTCAAGAGCTGAGTGATATCTTTAGATAGCCAAGACATGGTATCTCGATGAGGTTTGGCTATATCTACTGACAGATGACCCAGGAGTTGGCTTTGGTTTAGATTAGCTTGGAGGCTCCACGCAGAGAGTTCTATCTGAATGTGTTTTCTCTGAGCATGATGTGAGCATCTTGGGGACACTGGACAATTCCAACTGATGTTTACTAGCTCTCCAATATAGAAATACAGTGTGGCAGACAAAATGTTTTCAGACTTGGTTAGGGAAGTCAGATTAAAAATATGCAGTCCTTTGCTTTTAAGGTCTCCTAGGAAACAAAAAAGACAAAGAGTAAATAGAAGTAAATAAGACCTCAACCATGTGAAAAATTTTGACTCAAAATAAATCAGTGCCCGAAATATATGAGATAAAAGCCATAAAATTCTCCAATGAAAATAGAGGAGTAATTCTTCATGAACTTGGATTTGACAATGAATTCTGAGATATGACACTCAAATGTGAACAACAAAAGAAAACACATAGATATATCAATAAATAAATTTATAAATCAGATATAGTGAAATTCATTGAAATTAGTAACTTTTGCATCAAGGGACATAATCAAGAAAGTGAGAAGACAATCTTCAGAATGTTAACCATATATCTGACAAATCTAATATCCAGAACCTAGTACATAAGTGGCAGCTATAACTCAACCACAGTTATAACTCTGTATAAACCAATAAAACATGAGCAAAGGGCTTGGATAGGCACATCTCCAAAGAAGATATACAAATGGCCAACAGGCACATAAAAAGATACTCAAAAACATTAGTCATTAGGGTACTAGAAATCAAAACCACAATGTACTAGTTGAGACATACTAGTATGCTATAACAAACCAACCCTAAAACACCAGAGAGTCAGAGAGGATGTGGAAAAATTGCAACTTTTTCACTTTGTCAGTAGGGAGGTAAAATGGTTCAGTTGTTGTGGAAAACAATTCGATAGGTCCCCAAACATTTAACATAGAATTACCATATGATCCAGCAATTCTACTCCTAGACATATGCCTCCAAAACTGAAGATAGACACTCAACTGAGTATTTGTTTATAGCAGCACTATCACAATGACCAAAAGGTGGTAACAGCTCAATAGATCGTCAGTGGATAAACAGATAAGCAAAGTGTGGCATTTCCAAAAGATAGAATATTACTGTTATGAAAGAGAATGAATATCAATACATTCACAATGTAAATAGACCATGAAACATTATGCTAAATGAAATAAACTAGAGATGCAAAAGTTCACAAATTGTTTTGTTTCATTTATGTGATATATTCAAAATAGTAAAGTTCATAGAGACCATAGTGGTTGGTGTTTGCCAGGGACCAGAGGAAGGACCAAATGAGGAGAAACTCCTTATGGAGTTTAGAATTACAGAAATGTTTTGGAACTAGATGCGGCTGGTTGTTGCACAACACTGCGAAGGTATCAATTGCCACTTTATTGTTCTCTTAAAAAGTTAATTTCCTATTTTTGTGAATTTTACTTCAATTTAAAAAAAAATACAAACCAAAAAATTTATGCAAACTCTTGCTTTTGAGGGTTTCTAATAGGGGTGGGGAGTCACCAGGAGTAATTTTAAAAGCCAGAAAAAAAGTTTAAAGCAAAAAATAGTCACTTTTATGATTTGTTGTTTCCTTTACTGAAGCACCATAAATGTGTGAAAATGATAACACCATAGTAAACTTAGTGCAGGGGTGGGGTGGGGCAGAGCTGAGCATTCTAGAGATGATACAGATCTGCACATATAACTTTGACAAAGTACTGTAATAGCCTCCTATCTGAGGCACCCAGGCCTACTAGATACAAGCACAGGTTTAGAATTAGACTCACCTTGACTTAAGTGCTGGTTCAGGCACTTAATTAACTGGGGGAGCTATTGTTCTCATTCATAAAATAGAGATAATTTCTACCTCCCATGTCATCAAAATTAAATGAGATAAGTTTAAAGCATTTCAAAAAGGATCTAGTTAAGCGTTTCTTCTTTTTTATTTATATATGACAGCAGAATGCATTCCAATTCTTATTACACATATAGAGCACAATTTTTCATATCTCTGGTTGTATACATAGTATATTCTCACCAATTCGTGTCTTTATACCTGTACTTTGGATAATAATGATTATCACATTCCACCATCATTAATTACCCCATGCCCCCTTCCTTCCCCTCCAACTCCTCTGCTCTATCTATTCATCTATTCCTCCCATGCTCCCTCTCCCTATCCCACTATGAATCAGTCTCTTTATATCAAAGAAAACATTCGTCATTTGTTTTTTTTTTTGGAATTGGCTAACTTCACTTAGCATTATCTTCTCTAACTTCATCCATTTATGTGCAAATGCCATGATTTTATTTTCTTTTATTGCTGGGTATTATTCCATTCTTTATATATGCCACAGTTTCTTTATCCATTCATTTATTGAAGGGCATCTAGGTTGGCTCCACAGTTTAGCTATTGTGAATTGTGCTGCTATAAACATGGATGTGGCTGTGTCCCTGTAGTATGCTGATTTTAAGTACTTTGGGTATAGACCAAGGAGAGGGACAGTTAGGCATTTCTTAAATGTAAATCCTCCAGTGTAATTAATGCCACTATTCACAGTATTGTGGGGATTGTATCTCACACCTGCCTCACAAAATGTAGGGTGCAGGATATGTGTTGGATAGGCAGGGTGAAGTAACTTAATATTCAGAAAATATATTAAAAAATGAGCCACCCATTCAAAAATGTTTTTAAATTTTTTTCTTGTATAGTTTGTCTGAAATCTGATACTACATAAATTTTGAAGTTAAATTTCTATATGGCTCAACAACAACAACAAAAAGACTGAAATTGTTTACTTGTACTTCTAGTTCTTCATATCCAGAATAAGAGATAGTAGAGAGAAGGAGACAGATTTGTCAAGGCAGAACATGGCTCTTTCTCATGAGATCATCTAACAAGTTATTGGTAAAGCTGAGGTTAAAGAATGTCCAGTCCTGGGATTGGCCACCAAAACCGAGGCTTTTCTTCATGCACTTGTTCCATATACATACTTGTTTCAGAAACACACGCAATCATGAAATTATGTTCTTGATCAAAAACATGTTTCTGTAAAAACAAAACATTTTTATAAAGATGTGGAAACTTAAAATGAGTTCACTGAGTCCCCAAGCACAGAGGAAGTGCAATGGGAAACACATTTTACTCATTTTTAACATTGTGTGAAGCAAAAGAAGGAAACTGCCATTTGTGCACATTTGTATTATCCATGACACCAGGATAATATTTTGCAGACCTTTATAACAAAGCCATGGCATTGGAGTTGTTCAGAGACTCTGACCTTAATTCATCCCAGTCACCATAGCATATACTTTTACCCAAACTTCGTGTAGCAGAGGGAAGTTTAAAATGGAAGAAGAGAAGTCACTCTGTTCTAAGTTTGTGGCAATAGAACAGCTGCCAAACTTACTGGCAGTGAATGAATGAATTCCGAGGGACAAGGGTGGCAGAGTCTCATTGGGTAAACTAATCCTGCTCCTTTCCCCCACATTTTGCTTCAAAACATTTCCTTATTTCAGACTAGTTTCCCATCACCTTGTTACCTACTCTTGGTCAGCCTCCACCCCTGTGTCTAATCTTCAATATCTTCTCATGAAAATTCTCAGAATCTGTCACACCACCTGGTCCCACCACTCCCATTTCAGTTCAGGCCATGATTTTAAAGTTTAAGCCCTGTGACCCAGTACCTATTCCACTACACTCAATAGGGGTTCTCAGACAAATTACAAATACAAACAAATGTATTTTGTTCTCAGACAAATTACCTAAACAAAATCCCAGTCTGCTCCTCTATAAAATGAGCCCAGTAGTATCAACTGCAGAGTTGTTGTGAGGATTAATTAAATGAATGCAAGTAAAGTCCACATAGGAAAGCCTCCTTAAATGCTAGAACTGCACTGCCAGGATGATAGTGACCAGCTACTTCAGTTCAAAGTGAGGCGTGCTGTATACATGTAAAATGAACCCTGAGTTTCAAAGATTTGCTACAAAAATAAATGTACAGTATTTCAGAAATATATTTTATATTGAGTATGTATTAAAATGATAATATTTGAGTATATTGGATTAAATGTACTATATTATTAAAATTAATTGCTTTTGTTACTTTTTGCATTTTTAAATGTAGCTACTAAACTTTTAAAATTATATATGTGGCTCACATTTGTGGCTCCTATTAAATCTCTATTGGATGGTGGTGGTCTAGAATAACCACTAGTTTTATAGTCATATGGCCCAAAAGGAAATTTTTTAAAGCTTGTATTTCCAAAGGCAGTAAAGAATGAGGATTTTGCTCAACATGAATAAGCAAATAAAACAGTAAATTGGGCAAAAGATTCCTTTCTTGAAATGCAACATTCTTTCTTTATGAAGGACATATTAGATAAAGATAATCTTGGTGATTACTTTAAAAATTTCCCTCCAGCTGCAGTTAATCATTTCAATCTGCAACCGAAAGTCTAAGACCAACAAACTGCTCTATTCTAGAGCTAAAAGGGCCTTGTAACACAGAGATTATATACATAGTTTCCACTGTATTATTTGTGTATTACACACATAAACATACTACAACCAGCCATGAACAGAGACCAAAGCAAAATAAATGATTTACTTTAACAAACATGAGCTGAACATCCACCAGGTGCTAGAGCTGGGGCTAGATCATAGGGTTTCACAAATAGATGCTCCTATTCACGCACCCTGGTGAGAAAGAGGAACGTGAGTAATGTGCAGGTAGTTCTGCCACTTTAACACTAGCTGTCCAAGGTGTTAAGGATCTTGGAACAGAAGAGGAAGCACTTAACTTTGTCCAGATAGGGGACAGAAGAACACGTGGGGAAAAGTTGCCCTTTGAACCACACTAAAGATGAAGGCAGAAGGGAATGTTGGGAGGAGAAGGAAGGAAGGAACATGTTACAGCAGTGTCACAGCTGCTGTTATAGCAGCTGAAGATCTGGAAGCTTTTCCACAAGGAATATTGGCAACATTTTAAATATAAATTATAATAATGCTTAAAATTAACCCAGTTATATTGAATTCTAGCAAACAACTAAGCCAGCCAAATTCAGACAAGAAATGGCTAATTCACATCTAGCTTCTAACCAAAGGGGAGTTAAGTTATACCCAGCACTTGATGTCTTTGCTCTTGTCATTTCTGCTCAAATCAAGGAAAGTTCTCTTTCTGCCTACTCTAAATCCCTACTCTCCTTCCTGTTT